GTGCGTTTTTCTCTCCACAGGAACCACACGAGTACACTCCATTTTTCCAACTTCTCCTCATCCCCAAGATCCATTACTTGCTTTAACCATTGCAGGTTGTCCGTTGTCGGTTGGAACGCGAAGCAGTCAGCAACCTCCGAATTCTTCCAAATGCGACATGTCCATGAGCACTCGCCAAAGAGGTAAATTTGGGTCTCCCTTCGATCACAAAAGGGCACTTATCTCTCCTCCTTAGACTTTTGGTATTTATATGATCTCCAGTGGGAAGCGCGTCTCTCGCAAATTTCCACAATAAGTGTTTAATCTTTGGGGCCACTTCCATCGCCCAGAGTTTTTTCCAGATTGCCTCCTCGCCCACCGGAACAATCCCCGGGTCTGTCTTACATTCCTCGAGCTAAAAACGATATCCTTATCGAACTGAATAGGTGTCGTTCACACTCGCATTCCAAATGAGCCTGTCCTTTTCTTGTATCTCGCGCAAAGGGATTTCCAAAATGGATTGAATTACAATATTAGGAAAGCGTTGTTCCAGCAGTGATAAGTCCCACCCTTCTATGTATGTGTCTATGAGATCGATAACTCGGGACTCCATTGGCAAACCCTTTGGCCGAGAAGAGACAAAACCCTCAGCGTTGTTCGGGAGCCATTTGTCTCCCCAAATGCGAACCCGATCACCATTTCCAATTCTTCACCTTGTACCCCTATGGATGAAGTCCTGTGCTGACATCAAGCTACGCCAAACATAGCTCGGGTTATATCCCACATTCGCCTCAAAGATGGATGAATGCTTATGATATTTGGCCCCGAGTATTTGCGCAATGAGCGAGTCTAGCTTGTGGTAAAGATTCCACAACTGCTTTCCTAGTAGCGCCATATTGAAACCCATCAAGTCGCAAAAACCCATACCGCCCTCCAACTTGGAACACGCTAGCTCGTGTCTCTTGATCCAGTGAACCCGCCTCTCGCATCCTCGCTGTCGCCACCAAAATGTACTGATCAAACTATGTACATAGTCAATTATTCCATCCGAAATTTTGAAAAGTGACATAGCATATGACAATTGCGCTTGGGCTACTGACTTCATCATAACTTATCTGGCTGCAACAGACATCACTCACTCTTTCAACCCTTTCAGCTTCTTACGAACCCGATCAACCAGCCTTGCAAAAATTTCCTTCTTCTATCTACCAACTGTGGTAGCAAAGCCAAGATACTTTTCATGCTTCTCCACAATCTTCATCCCCAGGGTTCCAGCCACAATTAACTTAGGATGATGGGTTACCTTCTTGCCGAAAGAGACTTCAGATTTTCGAAAGTTAACCAGTTGCCCAGACTCACGCTCGTAATCTGCCCAAATTCTTTTAAGCTTATCACACTCCTGCATAGTGGCCCGTCCGAAGAAAATATTTTCATCGATGAAAAACAGGTGTGAGATTTCCGGCACCCCCACAGCTGGACGAATCCCATGCAGTCGTTTTTTCCTGGACAGCTTTCTCGGTGTATGCTGATAAGCCCTCCGAACAAAGAAGAAATGAATATGTTGATAGGGGATCTCCTTGTCATAATCCTCGACCGGGGAAAAACTGCTGGGATTGATGCTCGTTGACTAAGATGGAATAAGTAACTGAGCTGACACACAACATAACTCGGTCCACCCACTTGTCATCAAAACCCATCTTTTGCATTACTCCTTCCAAGAACCTCCATCTACCCTGTCGTAAGCCTTTGCCATGTCAATCTTCCCTGAAAAATATCCCACCTTTCTAGCCATTCTCTTCTTTATAGTGTGAAAACACTCAAAAGCACCCATCACGTTATCTGTAATAAACCTTCCCGATACAAAAGCACATTGCATCGGCGAAATAATCCTGTTAAGAAGACCCTTTATCTGATTTGCCAAAACCTTTGAAGCCATCTTATATATCACAATGCACAAACTAATGGGCGAAACTCCTTCGGACACGTCGGATTCTTCACCTTCGGGATTAGAGTGATAAGAGTGTGATTTATCCCCGGTGCCATCTCCCCATCTTCAATAATTCTGCGGACAGTAGCTACCACCTCATCCACCACCGTCTCCCAGTATTTCCTAAAGAAAAGAACTGATAAGCCATCGACACCTGGGGCCTTAAGTGCCGCCATCTGCTTCAGTGCGCCCCAAACCTCCTCCCTTGTGACTGGCTTTAAAAGCTCCTCATCTTTGGATGGCTTCCAGGACTGCAGAATCAGTCAGCACAGGTCTTGGAGTAAACAAAGAGTTAAAATAGTCGAGGAGAGTTAGTAGCCTATTCAATTCCCGAGAACCAATTTTGTGTTTTTGGAAGAATTTTGTGTTTTTGCCATCGCCTTTCTGCCATTCTGCACGAGATCTGTACTTCCAATACTGCTCTTCTTCTTCCTCCAACACTTCCACCTCAGTTTCAAGGTCTTAACGCTGCTGGAGAACTTGGTCCGTCTTCTGGCATCGGTCGAGCGCCTTCAAAGCTCTTCTAATGTTTTCTCGCTACTTGGCAAAACGCAGGAAAGTCCGCCTACTCCATTCCTCCAAGCTCGTCCGGCAAGCCTGTATCTTTGAGAGCACATCCACATGACTTGACCCATTCCAAGCTTCTTCAATCCCACCTGCACAATCAGCATAGTTAGACCAAAAAGGATATTGATATGGTTTTTAGATTTTAGTATTTAAAAATATACCAAAGATTTCTTTATTGCAATTGGTAATGGTTGTTGTCTTTGTTTGGAAAGACAATGATTCAAATCTCGAGATTGTTGTATTTTTATTTCTATGAATAAATAATAAATAATGATTGTGAACACAAAATTACCCTTCCTACTTTCGCTCTCGTTGCAGCAAATTTGAAATGTCGAATAACTGCCCCCAACTCTGCTATAATATATTTGTAGAGATAATATTCTTTGTAAGTCGTATAAGATATGAAGGTGATGCTAAAGTGGTCGTTGAAAAGATATACAAGACTGATACCCAGGATAATTAAATGGGCACAATTCTCGAGGAGGTCGAACATTATTTCGCGATTCATGGTGGCCTTAGTGTGCGATTTGTAGGTCGATTTAAGAATAGGGTAGCTCCTTTGGTGGTTAGAAATGCCCTTTCATTGTACCTGACTGCGAGTCGTTCTTTTGAATTTCTAGTCTGGCTTGATTTCAGGATTTAACTACCTCTTTCTCCAATCAATATAGCTGATTATTTTTTGTCAAAAAAACCATTAAAATGAAGGAATTATTTTTTACACGGCCATATGAAAACTTAAGATTTCAATTTTGGAGATATGGTGCAAATGTCACATAAGAATAGAGGTGTGAATCAGGCAAGGTCGAGAGGGTTTCAGTTGGGTTCAATCGGTTTAAGGGTTAGTCGGATTTTGGGTTCATCAAGTTATGATTTATTGGGTTGCAGGCCAGTCGTGTACGGATAAATCGGGTTGGAAGTTCATCGAATTGCGGGTCAATCGGGTTACAGGTTGATCGGCGAGTTGTGAGCATATCGGGTCGCGGGTTGTTCAGGTCAGCATTGTGTTATTTACTATTCAATATTTACAAATAAAAGTTAAAAACTTTTCAAAGTGTTACATTGATTTTTTTTATCCTTTTAGATGATTGAGTTAATGCAAATGGTATGACTTAATACATCAAGCTTAACCCTCAATTGCAAACCCAAATTCAACTCAAGCACAACCTTAATGTGCCAAATCTTTACTTCAGTGTTGTAAACTAACGATCATATAGTACAAAAGTTGTAATAAATATAGAAGCATAGAAAATATGTAGACAAATTAAATATAATTTTCTTAAATAAATAATTGTTGAAACTAATAATTAATCTAGTTATTAAATTATAAAAAATTAAATATATACTAACCTTCAATTTACATAACTTCATACACTAAAGATAGTCTAATTAACTAATAGTGAAATTAATTAGTTTCTATAGCTATATAATTACGTTGTTTATTAGTAGTTCTTGAATGAGTTCATATAATGGGTGCTAGGTTATGTGTACTAAAAAGAACGATTGATTTATTATGATAAGATGACGCATGATAGATTCTCCTATAGACAATGTCTTATTTACTAAATGATAAACTCTTAACTCATGTTATGTTCACAAATATACTATATCTAATTGTGCTGAAGTGACCTTCATGATTTAGTTTTAATAATTTTATTAAAACGCATAATTTCAAGAGGGTTTCAGATTTTTTAACCTAAACTATTTTGAAAATTTATTATGATAAGATGACGTATGATAGGTTCTTCTATATCCAACTGTGTTGATTTTATATTTAGTATTTATTGTTTTTACCTATGTTTAGAACCGAATAATTCATTTTGCAAGACTATGTATTATATTATATAATATAGTAATTATTCAGGTTGATCAGGCGAGGTTCAGATTGAGTCGGTCGGGTCACAAGTTAGTCGGGTTTGGATCAATTGGATTACGGGTTTAATTGGGTTCTGGGTCAATCGAGTTCGAGTTAATTGGGTTGCGGACTAGTCGGGCAGGCTACGGGTCAGTGACTTTTAGTCAATTCGAGTTGTGATAGGACGCATTAGTCAGATCGGATTCTATTTTGACACCTCTGCATAAGAATAGATTTTTTTATATGTCATGTTGCATTATATTCCCTTACTTTCGGCTATGGAATAATTACTATGTTAAAAGCATAACTGATAAATGGTATAAATGAAAATCTCATCCAATTTGTTGTCATCCCAAATTTTAAATGAGTAGTCAATCCGAATAAGAAAGATTTGTCATCACTCATCATAATAATTCCTTTGCTAAATATTTTTAGTATCATTTGGTCTGTAATTCAGAAAACAAGACAAGCATATTATCAATATAGACAACGTGTTTTGCTCTGTGCATAGCTTGCGGGAAAAATCCAAATTAGCAAACAGAAGTTGGAATTTTATGTACAACACACCATTCGGAATTTGCCTCCCGGAAAAGAAATTAAAAAGCATCTGTTAAGCTTACGCAGATATTTCAATACTTACCCTTATATTAATATTCCATTATTCATAATTTCATTTCTCCCAGCCCAACCCAGCCTAATCGTACTCGAGATTAACACTATTAAAGGCAATTGCTGCCAATCAAATTACATATCCATTACAACACAAAACTTTCATATAGCAACCCAAAAAAAAATGTTGACCAAAATACTGACGGTGGTTCTTCTGGCAACGATCACAATGGCGAGTCCGGCAATGTCGTACAGGCTTCAGATTAACGTTTCAAATCAATTGAGTAGAGGTCGCAAGATCACGGTGCGATGCGAGTCTAAAGATGACGACTTGGGCTCCCGTCGCCTCGTCAGCGGCGATGTGTATAGTTGGAGTTTTTCGCGCAACATTTTTGGCACAACGCTTTTCTGGTGTGATGTGGCCACCGCACGCAGCAAGAAGCATCTCTCTTTCAATGCATACGACGAAAGCCAAAGAAAGAAAGGGATGCCCAAGCTTCATGAACTTACCTGGGAGATCAAGGACGACGGTCTTTATTTTGCTGGTTTTCCCATTCCAATTGCGCCATGGGTCTCTCAGTAAGGTGGTTGTCATATATTCTTAGCTTGTTGTTTCAGTTTGGTCCATTGTATCTTGTTGTGATGTTGGGGTTTCATTTACTGTATCGTATTGATTGATTGATGTGTTTTGAGCGTATACCAGCAGCCTGCAAAAGCACAAATATTCTACTAGTTGTTTATGCCTTAATATTAATCTCGTATCACATCAGTTAACTACAAGGAATGTAATGGTTTCATGGTTTCATGTGTTACATTAACGGTTTATTTCAGTTATCCATGATTCATATTACAAAAGTATCCATTGAGTCTTAGGAATGTCTTTCCATTGTACATGTCATTTCTAAAATTAAATAAGGTTGGAATATGGATATGCATTTCAGAAGACGACTCCACAGTCCACATTAGGGGTGGAAATTAGGGTGGGTGTACTGAAGCTCTATGTTTTTCACCTTGAGAACAGTCGCAAATGCGACAAACAATGGTGTACGAAAGGAAAATCAAGCAAAAGGTTTGTGTAATCAAATAATTGTGCATGAGATAATCAATAACTCAATATAAGTTGGCAGGTGTGTATTGTCAGTGATATTAAATTTTTCTATTGACTAAACATGACACAATCTAGTAATCTCAGTGATCAAACTTGACATTTACCCATTAATTATTTGTGACTTCATATCCATGTTTACATCCTCTTCATTATTCTTTTATCTTATTAATTTACATCCAACATGAACTTAGATTAGATATGGTGGCAAATGATTTGCAAGACACACAACTTGATCGTGATTCCCCTATTATAATTCCGTATATCCAAAAAAAAAAAATCAGGTTTTGTAAATAAGAGTCCATCCGCTGCAAACTTTCAAAGCTAAAACAAATATCGTACGTGCATATCACAAAAAACCCATAGATAGAATAATTAATATAGATGCTTAAAATGGCAAATCACAAAATACTAACTTAACGTTCATTTTACGTTTCATGGGATGAGATTAGGTGATAACCCTTATAGGGGTTAGCACCGTGATAACTAGCAAAAATCACTACGGATTATTATAAAATCAATACAACATCTAAGCTAAATCACTACTAATTCAAACTAGTAGTAGTTTTTCCCTTGATTAGAGCGGTGCTAACTATTGTACAATTAACACCGTAACCGTTCCTGTTTCATGGACTAGGTAGCTTACTAAATTCCCTATTCTACCAAAAAAGGAAAGTAGTAATAAAAGATATACACTGCAGAAGAAGAAGAAAAAAACTTGTAACTATGGAGCAACCATTGGTGGGAGGCTATCAAAATATTTATTTAGCCACGAGGAATTAATATCTAACTTAATTTAATTTTAAATTTGGTCGTGGCGGGTCAAAGAGATGTGCACAAGCAGTGTAGCAAGCACAAGATAGATTCTCACACCGTCCATAAATAACTAATCCAATTCTTCCAAACATATTGCCGCATGCTCTTTCGCATATCGTGTTATTACAAACTCCACCCCGAAGATGCAATAATATTGCGGGAAAAGATGTGATTTTGTAGCAAAAATTTCCCTCATCTCCAGATTCGTGATGACGGAATGCTACGACCTGGTTCCCTAATTTTCATTACAAACATTAGTTACATATGAAATCAAATCATCACAATCAACTAATAAGAGAAGAGACATATATACTAAATATATAGAAATGATCAGTTTCACATAAAATATAGATTATCACCATGGAGAAGACAAATTAATAGAAGAACTAATACAATTTTTGAGGATGATGAGATTTTCATCGTGATCGTTTTCGCACTAATTTTTTCCTCGAGTATATGAATTGTCTTCGGTACGGAAGTGACATTAGCTAGCTATCCACATATATATATAAGAAGATTCGGTAACATAATTTTTTTACTTATGTAAATGCTAACTTCTCCATGATTGCAGGCGAGAAATAATCTTTCATGATTGAGTTCTTTTTATTATGTAAATATTAATATATGGATGACCAATGACCTATCACATTAGATGCTCACTAGGGAGTTACATGTAACCCCTATTTCTACATTATTATCTCTCATTCATATGCATTGATATAAGGATGTAGTGGTTACCAAAGTGTGCCTATAAATATAGCACACCATTGTATCAAAAGTGAAGAATGAATAAGAAAGCTCACTTCACCCTCTCTTCTTTGTGTCTTTCCCTCTCTAATCTTCTCTTGTAGTTGTTTATATTTTCATTAGTTTCATAACACGTTATCAGCACGAAGCTCTGCCAAAATTATCATTGCTCAAGACTCAAAGACTCTCGACATAATCTAAGATATTGGAGTAAGATCACAATATGATCAAGGTATGTAAATCGTAGATCCTTTCTTATCGTATTGTCTTATTTGTGTTGAGATTATCTCATTCTAATATATCAAGATGGATGCTACTTCTCATATCCATTGATATTTTATCACGTCAATCTATTTGGATTAACAAGAAAAGTAATATAAGTGATGAGTTAATTTCTCAGTTCTCTGTGTTATCCTATTCTTATCAATCATACATTGATATGTAGAAAATGCAAGTTCCAAGAGCCCATATATTCCCCAGAAGTGGAAATTGAAGAATCCAAGGGCAAAGAAAGAAGTGGACATGGTAACAAGAAGATTGGTTTTGTATGTTACCAATGTAATGGAAAATTGCATTTGTCCCGTACCCGTTGTACGCAAAAGACCTTATTCTACCAAAAATTAAAGGAAAAGCTAATTCATGTACGCTCATGCAATATCAATATTATGGAACATATTTATTGTATTATAAGTTGGTATATTCTCCATTAAAGATGAAAATGATATTGCACTTGAGACATTTTCATTCCCAGAAGTGAATGAAACAATCTATTCCCCGAAGTGAATGGAGCTATAAACATGATTATATATATGCTAAATGTATTGTATGGATCTTTTCACCAGAAGTGAGAAAAGAGAAGAATTATAAATAAGGATGAAATAACAATTGCATTATCAAAGTCATGATAATGTAATGTACCTGTTGTACATTGAAATGCATAATGGAACGCATATATAAATTTAAAATCACCTAGTTAGTGATGATATTGTTCCAAATAAAGCTTATTTAAATTTCCACAACTGTAGTATTATGATTCTTGTTTTCTATTATGTTTCATTGTGCCATTATTTTCATGCATAATTTAACTTGATAACTTTTATCTAGAACGATTAACTTGATAAGTTCGTCATTTTTGTCTTAAGTTTGAAATATACTCATTTATTATTCTAGTATGTTTTTGTAAAGTATGATTGTTAGAAAAAAAATCCAGATAAACTATATGGTAGAGTACATAAATGAGAAAAAGCTTCCGAAGAGCTTATGTTTGGTTACTTGAAGTAACTAAATTATGTACTCGTGATACTAATTTGTGATGATATTCACTATGAATATGTGTTTACTAAGAATGCATCAAATCATAAGTCTCTAGAAGGGTGGAATATGGTACAAAATATGGTAAAGCTTTAAAGGAGATAATTTTGTGGCCTGAAGGAACCAAACTACCTAGTGATGATGCATTATCCAATTAAAAGGATATTCGTAAAATGAATATCTTATCAAGAAAATAGTGAAACTAATATTTACATCACAAATATGTACTACATGTATATTAGTACAATCCATACACATAAAAGTGTAAACCAGAAGTTTACAAGATTTGATAACTTGATAATTGGTTGGTCCGGTTAGACCATCCCGGATCTTGATGTGAAAAAAAAAGTTCTTTGAGAATTCATGAGAACATCATATGAGAAGTCAAAGAACTCTCCAACTAAAAGAGTTATTATGCCATGTTTGTTCTCATGGAGAATAGAACAATTGATCAGAGCTTGTATAAGAGTTGGCAAATCTTTTGAGATTTTATATGATCACTTTTATTTTATCTAATCGCAACCCGATGTTTGCGAGATTGGTTGCCTCACTATGGATACATTTTGATGGTTATCCAATCAAACATCACTTTGCTTAATAGAACAAGCTGAGCCTTCCAGTCTCTTGTTGAGGACATGCTAGCTGGCAAGTGATAGTATTGGTTCGCATCTAACCAACAAGTTATCATAAGTTTCCCCCTTTTTACAAATGGTTTTGGTCAGAAACCTAACATTTCCCATATGAGAATATAAGGGTGTGCCGCATACATCCCATTTGCTCCACCACAGTATTTTAAGTTGATTCTCATTAGAGATTGAGAATTTGTGTTGAGGTTTGAATCCCAAATGAGAAATTTGTTTGCGAAATTATTCTTTTGATGGATTACTTTTCCAACATTAAAGGGGGAGGAAAAAAAAGCTAGACAAAGAGATGAGTTGGAATGAGTTATCATTATCTTGTTTTGATCCTCAAATTAAGAAACATGAACCTGAAGTTCATAAGATGAATAATCATTACCAACTATCAAATGTCTTTACTGACCATACAAAGTGTCCAAGTCATATATACTAGCTGTAAATGCTCCAAAAAAATTTGATATCCTTGTTGGATACTCTAATATAAAAAAAATGTGTCTAAAAGAGCGCATGAAGCGTGGTAGACCAATCGGTTCCAACGATAAACATCCTCGAGAAAAAAAAGGAGTTGTGATTAGAATGGTCAACTCGAGGACATGAAAACTCAAGAAGAGTAACCAAGAATTAAGTATAATTTTAGTTCCAGAAGAACACATGTCTTTGAAAGTTGTGAAGTGAAGAGATCTCAAAAACATATTAGACCACAATACTGGGACCGTAATGAAATCATTGTCGATAAAATTTGTTTGTTGTACTTCAGTACTGAATATGATATGTACAAGTGAGGATCAAGAGTAAAACTCTATTGATGCATGCAAATGATGATGTTATTGGCCAATATAGAAAGAAATCACGAAAGTGCTCAAAGAGCATAAAGTTTAAGGACCAGAAGTCCTTACACCTGAAAACTGCAAAAATAACAGGATACAAACAAATTTTTGTGCTATTCGAAAGTATAAAATTGTGAGAGATATAGTACAATGTTTTGCAATGGGTTTCTCGAAAAGACCTATCATTGTTTAAGAGGAGTTATACTCTCCTGTGGTGGGTGCAAGTACTTTTTCAAATCAATGTTTGAAAATTGTTGCGATAGCCTATTTGTTTGAATTCCCCGAAGATGTTAAATATATTTGAAACTCCCAGAAGGATTAATTACTCCTAGAAGGATTAATTTACCTGAAGTAAAAAAGTAAAGTTCTCGAGAACATATAATGATAGACTAAGAATATCCCCTGTATGGGTTGAGAAAATATAGACGAATGTGAAATACTCGTCTAAGTGAACACCTACAACAGTAGGGTGAATGGACCTTAAAAGGTTAAATCCGGATAGAGCCATTAGAGCATTTGCATTGTGCATATATAGTTGTGTTGTTTGTATGTGCTTCAAGGATTTTAAAATCTTGGTTTATGAGTTGTGTTTTACTTTAAAGTATGAGTTGTGTTTTATGATTGTGCTTTGTCTAGTTCATATGTTTCTATGATGTGAGTTTTGTTATTATCTTTCGTGATATGAAAGAATTGCTTGCATCAATTTGTGTTAGTTAAGTTTTTTTTTGTGACGATCTCATATTATGTTGATGATATGACTATTATTGGATCTCCTGAAGAGCTTCCTAAAGCAGTTGATTGCTTCGAGACATAAGTTAAATTGAAGGATTTAAGATCATTTTTTAGGGCAAGGAAGGTAATGTTGAAAAAGTGGGAAAGTAATTTTGCATGAACGAATTGTGTTCATCAAATAACATTAGGATCCTAAGATCACTAGAAGTGACCAAAGATCCATTTAGAAATCAAGAAAGAAGTGAAACATTAGGTCCTGAAGTACCATATGTTGATGCATTAGAGCACCAATGCACCTTGCTAGCCAAGCACCATATAAACTATCATTTTGGTGTTGATACTATTGGAAAAATACAATGTTTCCCTCAATGGAACGTTGGAAGATACTTTGTTATCTCCAGGAACAATATATGCGACTATTCTATTATGGTATTATCAAAGAGAGATTTGGTAAACTATATATCCAAATCCTATATATCATTTGATCCTTATATTGGTTGATCGGAGAAGAGTTATCTCTTACATATGGTGATATAAATGTTTCATAAAGAAACAAAACAAACTATAATGGGCAGGTCCCGAATGTCTTTCGTTACACTTTGTGATCCACCATATCTCAAGTACTTGTGGTTGTGAGCTATTTTCAAATGAAATGATCCTGACGATCATGTATGAAGAAAATCTAAAGATCATGCATCAAATTGACAATCTAGAAGATTGTTCACTAACTCACTCCCGACAACAATCTTTCTAAAAGTTGTTTGTGAAATTTGAGTTCAACGACTCAATAATCTGAAGTGATGTGGTCATGAGGGGGAGCATATACGCACTGCACTCTTTTTTCCTTAACCATGGTTTTTTCCCAATGGGTTTTCCTGGTAAGATTTTTAATGAGGCAGTATGATATAGCGTAATGCAATCTAGTGGTCATCCAAGGGGGAGTATTATGTAAATATTAATATATGGATGACCAATGACCTACCACATTAGATGCTCACTTGGGAGTTACATGTAACCCCTATTTCTACATTATTATCTCTCATTCATATGCATTGATATAAGGATGTAGTGGTTACCAAAGTGTGCCTATAAATATAGCACACCATTGTATCAAAAGTGAAGAATGAATAAGAAAGCTCACTTCACCCTCTCTTCTTTGTGTCTTTCCCTCTCTAATCTTCTCTTGTAGTTGTTTATATTTTCATTAGTTTCATAACACTTTTCGTATTGTTGTTGAAGTCCATAAATCTCGGTCGTTTCTTTAATCATTTGACCGGCGACTTTCTAAATATTATGCTTGGGTTTCTCCCTTCTTTAATTTCCCTTTTTTAAGTTTCCCCAATATGCTTTATATATATCTTTAATTTCCATATGTCATTTGAGAAATTGCCTTTGCTTGTACGATATTGACAGTGCACTAGAAGACTGCTTGTCAAGTTCAAACCGATATGAAATGTTGGAACCATAGTTAAGGTACGATGGCTAATTATCATAAATGGTCACAAACCTTTGCGTTTTGTACAAAACGGTCACAAACCTTTATTTTTGCACGATTCGGTAATAAACATTTAACATATAACAAAATGGTCATTCCGTCTATCTACATCCAAACTTCTGTTAATTTGATCTAGTCAGCACTCCATATCATCCAAATTAATAATAAAATAATAAAACTTAACCAAACCGAACAAGAATGAAAAATTGAATTTCCACCATCAATGCCATGTCCCAATTCCCCATTGTTCTCTGCCGCTATCTGTAAGAATTCAACCTCAAAATCCTTTCCATTTCGTCGCAATGACCAAGCTCTCCACTCCTCCACCGCCGGCCCCGATTGTAATCAGAAAAGTCTTGGGGTCTGATTTCCCCTTCTCCTTCGATGCAACGCGAGGCCAGAATATAGGAAAAGAAGGAATGAACAGAGGTGGAGGCGACATTTTTGGGCTCTCAATCCCCGACACTCCGTTGACGGAACGAGAGGCCGAGGACCACCACTTCGACGAGAATAATATCGCGGGACTCCAGCTTTTGTTCTTATGTCGATGGAGCCTAGGCTGAGCGAAGACAGCGACAGGGGCACCACCGCCATGATGAGTGTTTTGAGGAGGTCGGCTGGACTGAGGGATGGAGAGGTCGCAACTCGCAACGATCGGAAAATGAAAGGAAGGAGAAGAGGCGATTGGAATGAGAGAGACGCTGGTGGATTCTATCGGCTGGGAGCACGAGCGGTAGAAGGAGAAGGGTTTACTGAATGGGCTGCCCTCTATTCTCCCCAAGCAATGCCCAACTGTAATCAAATGGCAGCAGATGCGCCATTCTCGTCATAGTAATTAGGCGCGCTCGTCGTCTTACTGGGGAAATGCTGGCTTGGAGGAGGAAAAGTGAGGTTGGGACTGATCGTCGGAGGAAGGAAAAGAAGTAGAGAGAGATCCCTGGACCCTGGGGTTTTCTTCCAGACAGAAGATAGGTTAGACGGTTGGGTTTTGAGAGAGTTAGATGGGTTGCGTCCGGGTATGGTTAAGTTTAATTATTTATTATTAATTTTGATGACATGGAGTGTTGACTGGATCAAACTAACAGAATTTTGGATGGAAAAAGGCGGAATGACCATTTTGTTATACGCTTAAACGTTTATTATCGAATCGTGCAAAAACAAAGGTGTGTGACCGTTTTGTACAAAGTGCAAAGATTTGTGACTATTTATGATAATTACCAAGGTATGATTTAAGTTCAAAATGCCGCACCACTGAATTATCCAATGCAATTTCCAATACAGTTATAAATTATTGAAAAATCTATTTGTGTATAGTTTGAATGAAGAAAACACTTTCTTCTTTTTGTTTTTAATTTCTTACCAATAATCAAGCAAGGAATACACAATTTTCCTTTGTTTTGACCAAACACTACTAAATATTTATCATGATCCATCTTCTCCTTTTTATTGTGAAGATTTTGCCGTGATTGGCTATGATCAGATTAAGCAACTGGGTCACGATCAACTGGATGAATCAGATTAGCCGAATTGACCAAGTTTAATTTTGTTTTTTTAAAGAGAATGTGTCTAGTGAGAGAAGCGCTGAATGACTAAAAATTTTACAATGTTATATAGTTTTGGTGCTATAGAATTTTAGTTTTATGGTACAACTTAAAATTGTACATTTACGTTATGGTATAATTTAAAATTGTACCTATACTTTTTGTACAAATTCTTTTACAGTACAACTTGAACTTGTATCTTTATGTGATGATACAACTTCAAGTTGTAAAGTTGTACCATACATAATGGTACAAATTGTTTTATGGTACAACCTAAACTTATACATTTAATGTTATGGTACAACTTTAAGTTGTACATTAAAGCACCAATACTATATAGCATAGTAGAAGTGCTCATTATATATTATCTCACCGAGTGAGTTTAGAGTCGCATAATTATGTATTTGGTTGGCCATCCATTTATTAGCCTCATTCCAAAGACAACCGAGCAAGGCTAAATTATCTTCTCTTTCTTTTTCTAGGTAACGATTAATAAAATATGAGATCATAGATCTAGGTTTGTGATGTATAGTTTTTTTTACCATAGCGGCAAATCCCTTTGCGTTATTTTTTTTATAAATTCGCTTGGTTTTTATAAATATTAGTGAGAGAGTTATATTATTACCGCTGCCACAATTCTCAAGAGCTATATGTAAGGGATTTTCAATTTCTCGCAAATTTAGCGAACTATATCTCATTCATTTCAACTATGATTTTAAATTGTAAGAGAAACCATATTAATTGAAAATTTTCAAAGATAATTTAACTTTTATTATGTAATTACAATTATTGATATACGGATGATCAATGACCTACCACATAAGATGCTCACTTGGGAGTTACATGTAACCCCTATTCCTATATCATTATCTCTTATTCATATGCATTGATATAGGGATGTAGTGGTTACCAAAGTGTGCATATAAATAGAGCACATTATTGTATCAAAAGTGAAGATGAATAAGAAGAACTCTTATCCTCTCTTCTCTTGGGTCTTTCCCTCTCTAATCTTCTCTTGTAGTTGTTTATATTTTCCATTAGTTTCATACGTTATTATTGGGAAATAGGAAATATGGTGGAAATTGTTGTGTATTATTACTAATAGCACAAAGGGTTTATATAGAGATTACAATAAGTGACTCTCATAATAACCCTAATACTAATAAGGAAAACACATTCCTTCTAGGACTCTAACATGGAAACCCAACTAATAGTCTAATACAGAATATGATTCTTAACAAATTACATAATAGTACTCATACTCTAATATCCTCCCCGAATTGATGGTAATTAATTACCGACAATTTGAAAATGGAAACAAAACTGATAGAAATTACTACGAACAATGTGACCGAAAAACAACACTGAAAAACATAAATGCTCCACCAAATATGCTGATGTCGATGAAGACCATGTCCATGGCCTCGTGCAACATCGATGGTGATAAGCTGGAGATGACAAAAGGTCTTGCCAAAGTCGTATTGTCCGCCAGGGGCAGATCTACACTATGGCTCGCGGGGGGGGGGGGGGGGGGGGGGGGGGGGGGGGGGGGGGGGGGGGGGGGGGGGGGGGGGGGGGGAATTTTGAAAGTTACGTGTAAGTTGTTTGTGATTTTTGAAAATTACGTATAAACAGAAAAAAAACATAAAAGAGTAGTCGCTAATCATAACACATTTACCAGTGCACCCTAACGGAAGAACATGCTTATTAAATCAAGGGAATGCTGGTTCAATGCTCATGACAGACAAATTTAACCTTTTTTGTTTTCTACTTGTACTTGGCACGAAAATTCAATATAATTATCTAGTTTTCATATCTTTTGCTTAAAATAAATTAAGTTCTTCAAGATTGCATTCTACGTTTTAAGGACTCTTTTGAATATATATATAATGAACTTTTTTCTCTTTTCATTTTTAGCTCTAGAAAATTGTGTAAACTTTGCATTACATGTTTTAAGGACTATTTTGAATATACAATGAGTAAATTTTTGGTTAAATACACTTGTATATCCAAAACTTTCACGGTTGTGCCAATAATATTCAAATTTCCCGAAATACCATTTATATCCAATTCCTTCACATTCTTTAACGGTGTTTTTGGGTATACAAGTGTATTTAACCAAAAATATATTGGGAAATGGATAAATTTGGCAAAGAACAACTTTAAAACATGGATATAAGTGGTATTTCGGGAAATTTGGATATTATTGGCACAAGCGTGAAAGTTTTAGATATACAAGTGTATTAAACCTAAATTTTTTCTTGTAATAGATTGTACACATTGATTTTTCAGCTATAAAAATCATGAAACATGTTAGGTATTGGAATGTATTATTAGTTTTGTTGGTAATTAACTCATTTATAGTCAAAATGACATGATAATTTATTCGTCTTAAATCGTGTTTGAAGTAATCTAATTGTCTTAAAAAAGTGTCTTGAGCAATTTTGATGATTAAAAGTACTCTTTTTAAAGTTGGAATTATATTTTTGTGTTTTTTTGCCTCTTACGGTAATACGAATAAAAATTTTCGGCCCCCCGAAGCTCGAATCCTGGCTCCGCCCCTGTTGTATGCCGAACTAACAGAACCACGTGCTCCGAACAGCAACATGGTGATCAGGATTCTCTGAATAGCATCATCGAAACAGAAACAGAACCACATGCTCCAAAAAGCAACATGGCACTCAGGATCCTCTGAATAGCATCATCGAAACGGAAACAAAACCAAAATGCTCCGAACAGCATTTATCAAATTGAGATATTCCGAACAATATCTCAAACTATGGTGCTCCGAATAGCACCTCCAAAACCGAAGCCAAAGGGACAAAATCTATGGTTATACCAAATCGAGACGGACTTGAACAACTGCAGCTGAAACCCTTTACAATCTCCACCATAACCCATTAATCCAGAAGTTCCAAAGAGTCAAATCTGTTGACGAAGGAAAAACCACAAACTCGGGACGGGTTAGCATGCTAACCCCTTAAGGGGTTGGTTTTTTGACACCCCCCTTTTAATTGGTCAATTTTTCATTAATTATTGACAAGTATTAATGAAAGTAAACATAATAAATGTTCTGTTATTAAATACACCACATTAATTACCACTTTACTGGTATTTGTACCACTCACTGATACTCAGATATGACATTGCTACCAGTGCTACCAGTGCACTGATATCGCTACCAGTGCAGTGGTATATCTACCAGTATAGTGGTACACCGTATCAGTGCAGTAGTATATTTTTTGGAGGTGGTCGGAGGGAGTCTGCCGATGGGATTTTCACCGGAGAAGTGTGGCGGTCGGAGGAAGTCTGGTGGTCGGAGACTGCTGAAAAAGGAAAAATCAAATATAGTGAGAGAATTCCTAATGTGTATTTAATGTGTGTATTTAATTCCTAATGTGTATTTAATAGTGAGAGAATTCCTAATTAATATGGTACATTTAATTCCTAATGTGTATTTAATGTGTGTATTAAATTCTATAGTTGTATTTAATATACTAGGTGGTGTCATTTTTCCAATTGCTAGCCTAGTCATACTGTGAAGTCCAAGAAATCAAGGTTTCTTGGGTTCATGCAAACCTATCACTTATTATTCAGATAAATATATATAGCTAGCCATCACCACTATCAGTATCGAGGGTAAAAGAAAACATGGAATTCAGACTTCACAATTACCGGAAGATTCTCGAGGCTGTGCTGCCAATTTTGGGTCACCCAATAGACGGGAGCTGATCGGCGGGCATGAGAACATGGGATGTAGACCTGACGAAGCGAAGTAGGAGACACGACGAGGACTCAATCCGTCACAACAGCTTCACAACTTCACAAAAGACTCTTGGAACGGACGACTGCGGAATTTTCAATTCCTTCCGAGACGCTAAAGGTTGAGACTCCAAATAATAAAAGCAGTAAGGAGATGGAGGACAATAATGAGATTGAGATCGATGGGAGGAGGAAGAAATTACTAGCGGCCGGGTGATTGAGGACTCATGGTGGGTGGCCGAGGAGGAAAGAAATTTAAGGTTTTTCTGGATCAGTAACCAGGCTCTGATATCATGGGAATCGGAAATATGATGGAAGACTCTTGATATAATCTAATGCATTGAGGTGAAATTTACAATATGATCAAGATTTTATTATAGTTATTTCAAAATATTCTAATGGAGGCTACTTATTTCTCATAGTAGGCCATCCATGAATATTTGTATATAGTATAACTATTTTCTATGAATATTTTGGATTTCAATATTATTCATATTTTCTATTACCTTATTGTATATGTTACTTTTGTAAAATAAAGTTTGTGCCTGTTGCACCATCATAAAAGAAAAATTGCAGTTACCTAGTTGGTGATGGTAATATTCCAAATAAATCGGGATCGGTTAGCTTGCTAACCCCTTTATGGGGTTTGAAAAATAACACCCCCTATTAATTATAGTATTAAATTTGTGTTGCATTTAATAATCTTTGGGAATTTAAAAATTATATTAATTAAATTCTTTTTTTTTTGAACTACCATTTAATAAATCCTATTCAAGTTTGGTACTAATTGATTGATTTCAAAATTAATTATTGTTTTATTTATTATGCTTTATTGCACGAAAAATATTTTATTTTATTAATAAAAAATTAGTTACATTATTACTTATATCTTAACGTAGAGATATTCTCCTTGTTTTTAGTATAAATGTCCTTATGAACCATGAATATTTACAAGAATAAATATTCGTATTATTTCATATACTACAAAAGTAAGTAAAAGCTCCGTAAGAGCTTATGTTTTGATTACTTGAAGTAACTAACTTATGTATGAGTGAAAACAAATTTTGTGACTTCACACTAAATCATGGGAAAAATTTAGTACCTAAATATGTAAAAGCTTTGAAGAGCTAATGTTTTATGTGATATATTAGTACTATCTGTACATGTGAAAATGTAATCCAGAAGTTTACAAGATTTGATAACTTGGTAATTTGGTTGGTCCGGTTAGACCATCCCGGATCATGATGTAAAAAAAAAATCATTTGAGAATTCATGGGTACATCATATGAGAAATCAAATAACTCTTCAACTAAAAGAGTTATTATAGCATGTATTTTATATAATCGCAACCCGATGTTTGTGAGATTGGTTGCCTCACTATCAATGGATACATTTTGATTGTTATCCAATCAAACATCACTTTGCTTAAGAGAACAAGCTAAGCCTTCCGGTCACTTGTCGAGGACATGCTAGCTAACAAGTGATAGTATTGGTTAGCATCTAACCAACAAGCTATCATAAGTTCCCCCCTCCCCCTTTTACAAATGGTTTTGGTCAGAAACTTAACACATGAGAATATCAGGCTGTGCCGCATATATTCCAATTGCTTCACCACAGTATCTTAAGTTGATTCTCGTTGGAAATTAAGAATTTGTGTTGGTTATGAATCACAAATGGGAAATTTGTTTCCGAAATTATTGTTTTGATGAATCATTTTTCCAACATTAAGGGTGAGAGGAAAAACAACTAGACAAAGAGATGAGTTGGAGTGAGTTATAAATATTTATATTTGATCCTCAAAGTTAGAAACATGAACCTGAAGTTCATAAGATGAATTTTCATTACCAACTAACAAATGCATTTACTGACCATACAAAGTGACCAAGTCACACATACTAGTAGTGAATGCTCCAACCAAATTTGATATCCTTGTTGAATACTCTAATATTAAAAAATGTGTCTAAAAGAGTGCATGAAGCGTGATAGACCAATCGGTTCCAATGATAAACATCCTCGAGAAAGAAAAGGAGTTGTAATTAGAATGGTCAACTCGAGGACATGAAAACTCAAGAAGAGTAACCAAGAATAAAGTAAGATTTCAGTTCCAGAAGAACACATGTGTCTGAAAGCTGTGAAAGTGAAGAGATCTCAAAACATATTGGACTACAATACTGGAACCGTAATGAAGTCATTTTCGACGAAATTTGTTGTACTTTAATACTGAATATGATATATACAAGTGAGGATCAAGAGTAAACTCTATTGCTTCATGCAAATGATGATGTTATTGGCAAATATAAAAAGAAATCATGAAAGTTGCTCAAGGAGCATAATATTTAAGGACCAGAAGTCCTTATACTTGAAAAGGATAAAAATAGCTGGATACAAACAAATTTTAGTGCTATTGGAAAGTATGAAATTGTGAGAGATACAACACAATATTTTGCAATGGTTTTCTCGAAGAGACCTATCATTGTTTGAGAGGAGTTATGCTCCCCTATGGTGGATGTGACACGCTAAAACACAACAGCAAACTGCGACCAAGTGTAATCGCAGAATGGAAATGCAGAATAGTGGCAATTTCAATTTATCAATCTGGGGTCTAGATCTACTGCCTACTCCGTGACTACCTGTTATCTAACTGGACTAAGTGTAGTGAGGGTGATTGCAAACAAAAGCAGTAAGAAAACAGGAAATGGTTCGAAGTTCTTAAGCAAGGGAACATCCGAGAGTAGCTTGGAATCTCTTAAGCTAACCTAGCCCTCTCAAACAGACTACTCGGCAGACGACTAGTCTTCACCGGGACAGAGCGATGAGACAATTGACACAAAAGCAGTGAATCGACCAACTCTTGTATAATCGATTCACTACTACCTATTGAAGAAGCTCTAACAACCTAATCAGATTCTATCTATCTCAGGTTGCAGCATAAATCAAGAAAAGTTGACCAGGCTCCAATTGACTCAATGAATCATGCATCAATCGATTATAATCCAAAAGTCTATCAATCCAAAAGTCATTACAATCATTATCCCTAACACATGGAACTAGGGTTCTTCAAACCCAAGTGAGAGAGAGTTCTACTCCATAGAGAGAGAGAGAGAGAGAGAGAGAGAGAGAGAGGAAAACAGAATACAAAGCAGTCATACTCATAATGATGGGAAGAATCTGCTTTGGGATGATAATCTTGATTGATGAAACCCAGCTCCAAAATCACCTATGGGGTTTGTTCTTCGCATTGTCTCTCTCTAGGACTCTGTTTTTGCTCTGGAAATTCGTCTCCCTCTTCAAAGACCCAAAATTGGGTTAAAACCCCAGTTCTGCCCGATCACACGGCCAGGCCACACGGCCGATTGAAATTTAGTTATGCATGTGCGGCTCTCCAAAATGCCGCGTCCGATTTAGTGACTCTCGGTGGCTACACGGCCAAAACCACACGGCCGTATGGAATTTAGGTATACGTGTGAACTCTCTGGAAATCCCACAGGGCCAAAAAGGGCCCTTACACGACCAGTGTGGCTTTGCTCGCGCAAAAGGGATTCCACACGGCCAAGTCACCCGAACTCGTGCCCAAACCTTCCTTCGCGTACTAGGACTTGAAATATCACAGACAAGAACAACCTAGCATGAAATTGGCCTAAAACACGAGAGACGAGGCTCAAACAGTATAAGAATGGTGGACAAAAACATGTGTAAGTATCAAGTCATCAAATTCCCCCACACTTAACCGTTTTCTTGTCCCTAAACAAACCTGACTCAAACCAATGCAGTTCTCCAGGCCTCTATAGTAAAATGCACCCCCGATCGTGAGTAGAGGATTTCCTAGATCATTTAACAGCTTATGAGGTCAACAGACGCACAAGACACCTCCTAGCTTCTTTGGCGAGAACTCTAGGCTCGAGTCGGCATCATGGAAAATAGTGATCAAAGGACAAATGAATCGTGGATGAAGGGACTCTCTTTTTTTTTAAGATCATTGACTCACTTTTTTTTAAGGTGCACTATTTTCTTTTTGAAGATGGTTGGAACCCTTCTTTTTTTCTTTGTTTTTTTGTTTATTATTTTTTGCATGGGTCCTAACCTGTTATTTCCAGAAAACGGGGCTCCCACGTATTAAAGGTTTTGACGGAGCCCGGCTCTTACTAGCCATGCCAGGAGCAGATGTCTCGAGCCTTGTGCGGGGAAAAGAAATGTAAGGGGGCTGGAGGTAGTAGGGGGAAATTGGGAATGAATTCCCGTCTCCCCTTACACACTTTCACCCTTTTTGCATGGGGGACGTTATTTTAAAAGCACAATTTAGAGCCCTGTTTTTTTTTTTCAAAACATGATACTGGAGTTCATTACAGGTAGAGATTCCACATAATATGAAGAAGAAAGGAGACTTCTTAAATGCATCCACATCCTCCATAGTACTACACCTACCTCCCTAGGTTGCATATCACCATAAAGACTGTCAATTCAAAGCATACTGAGCAAGATATTGCAGGGAACAGTACTTCGAGCCCTCAATTCATCAATTGGACAATGGACTAGGCTCCAAGCACAGAAACTCATCTAGCAGTCAAAGATAGATAAATACCCCCCGCACTTAAGTTCGACATTGCCCTCAATGGAGTAGAGGGAAAGATAAGGGGAAACGATGTTACCGGGAAAACGAACTGCCAGGGAACTGGAAATGGGACCAGTCAGCAGGGCTAGAGTCATCAAAACACACTGGGTGGTAGAAACCATAGTTCCAAGTGGACAAACCAAAAACAAACGAAAGGAAAACAAACATTGGTGGGGTAGCCTCCCCACAAGCGTTTCTTTTACATCTTTAGCTGGATGCAGAGGGTAGATGCTCAGAGTGGTGTAGGAACAAGTGCCTTCAAGAGCGGATCCACATCTCTCTTGAGGTAAAGCTTCAGGTGGTCGCCATGCACACAACGGGTGTGACCACTAGCACTTGTCAACTCGACCTGGCCATCCGGAAGGGTGCAAGCGAGTGAATACTTGGATGGCCAGGGAGGTCGTGGCTCAGGGGCTAGGACCCTCTCATAGTGGTCTCCAACTTCCTTTTCAGCAGACCTAGCTACCTGCAGTTTCGGCCGCCACTCCTCCTTTATCTTTTCTTTTGGTAATGGGGTGGACGGGAGTGGCGGCGAAGATATGGGAGGTGAATCCTGCAAAACGAGAGGCACAGAAGGATACACGACAGATTCGTGCACCTGGTGAGCGACAACATTGACAAGCGAGATAACAGTCATATTATTAGCAATGGAAAATGTTATATGCTCCTCGCCATCTCTCAAGACTAAGGTCCCATAATGCACATCTATGAGAGCCTTGGCGGTGGCCAGGAAAGGCCTTCCTAGTATAATGGGCACTTCTGCATCTTCATTGATGTCCAAGATAACAAAATCCACAAGATAAAAAAATAAGTCAACCTTAACCAGGAGGTCTTCCACTATGCCCCTAGGATGAACTATAGATCGGTAGGCTAATTGAATACTCATCGTAGTTGCACTGGGTTCACCTAGGCCTAATTTCTTGAAAAATTTATATGGTATAACATTGATTCTAGCACCTAGATCCGCCAAGGAACTCTCTACATGCAATTTACCAATAGAGCACGGGATAGTAAAACTACCAGGGTCCTTCTGCTTCGGCATAAGCTTGTTCTGCAAAATGGCCGAGCACCCCTCTCTGAGCTCCACAGTGGCCAGCTCGCTCAGCTTCTGCTTCTTCGAGAGAAGATCCTTCAGGAACTTCGCATACCTAGGCATCTGAGATAGTGCCTCCATGAAAGGCACTTGAACATTCAGCTTCTTGAGCATGGACAAGAAATTGCCAAACTCTGCCTCAAGCCTGTCTTTGTACATCCTGGTGGGAAAAGGGAGCTTAGACTTATATTCAGCCACTACTGGCTGTGACTTTGGAGCCTAAGCCTCTGGCTCCTTTTCCATCACCAGGTCCTCATCCGGTTCTAGGGTGATCTGTGTCACCTTTTTGGCACTCTTCTGGAGTGCATCCGCAGTCACAGTCCCACTTCTCAACATAATGGCTTGCAACCCCTCCTTATGATTTCTGAGATTTGGCAGGGGTGGCCAAGAAGTGTGTCAGTCGGTCTGGAAGCAAGAGCATCTGCCAAGTGCCCGATTTTGGTGTCCATATCCTGCAGCAGTTCCTGTTGATTCCTCTGGTTAGCTTCAATCTCCATGAATTTGCCCACAGCCACTTCCATGAATTGCTCCAATTTATTGAATTTCTGGGTACTAGTGCTGGCCAAAGTGGTCACTTAACCCCGCAGTTCTAACACGGGATCGCCTGGTGCTGGGACAGATGCTGGGACAGATGAAGATGCACCAAACTGCTGGTACTGCTGATGTGGGGGCTACTGAAAAGCTTGCCCCTGTCTGGGCTGATAAAGGGCCATGTATGGCTGCCTCTGGTTTTGAAAACCAGCTGCAGGAGCTTGGAAGCTAGGTGGCTTGGGATTAATATTGCCACTCTAGGAGAAATTTGAATGCTGGCACCATCCCTCATTGTAGGTATTACTGTAAGGGTCGTTGCGCCTGCATTGTTGATGAAGTTCACATGCTCCTGTGGTGTACTGGACTCACGCATGGCCTGGCAGTCTTTTACAGTATGATGGGCACTCTCACACCACTGGCAATGCATTGCCTGCTGCTGCCCTGTCCCCGGAATCATCCCATTCCGATTGATGGCTGAGACTAGTTTAGACACAACCTGCACCAAATTGGAAGACTGGGTGCCCACAACATTTACACCCCGGCCTGGTACGCGCCTCAACCTCCTAGCAGTATCCCAGTCATATCATTTCTCTGCCATCTCCTCAAAGAGCTGATTCAACTACGGCGGCGTCTTGGTCAGCATGTTCCCGGCACAACCCGAGTCAATCAGCTGCTTGTCTTCTGGGAAGAGGGCGTGGTAGAATGTGCCCACCTTGAAGGCGTCATTGAAACCATGATTGGGACACTTCAGGAAAAGACTAGTGTATCTTTCCCAAGCATCCCAAATGGTTTCATCTACCTCCTGGGCAAAGTGGGTGATCTGCTTCTGCAGGTCCGCCGTCTTTGACGGAGGATGATAGCGGGTGAGGAACTTGTCCACCTGGTTGGCGAACGTGGTGATCGAGCCTAGAGGCCGAGTGTTCAGCCACTCCTTGGCCTGACCCTCCAGAGTGAATGGGAAGTATCTCAGCTGGATGGCATCGGCTGGGACCCCATTTATCTTGATTCCATCGATGAGCTCGTGGAATCGCCACAGATGCGATCTGGGACACTCCCCCTCCTTTCCACGGAATACCACCGAGGCGCGCAACATGGTGATGACAGAGGTGCTCACCTCGAAGTTATTAGTTGGAACTTCACGGTGCTGGAAGGGAGACCTCATGTCTGCGGCTCGGGCAGTCCAATAGTATCCAATGGTGTTCTCATTGGGGACAACCACATCATTGTTCTGTGGCTCACCCATGTCTTCCTCTTGGTTGATGTGCAGCTATGCAAGAGCCTCCTCTGCAGCCAGTCGCACCTTTAAAGTCCGCTTGAGTTTATGACATGTTAGTTCAATTTCCTGGTCCAATGGCAGTAGATCTCCCGACTGGCTACAGGTCACGCACTACCTGCACGCAATCAGCAAAAGCAACGCGTGAAGGCGCACAGGTGGAAGAGAGAGAATGCAGTAAAGAAAATGCTAAATTAACAGACGTTCACGTTTCTACAATAACCTAGGGTCCCCGGCAACGGCGCCAAAAACTTGACACGCTAAAACACAACACCAAATTGCGACCAAGTGCAATCGCATAATGGAAATGCAGAATAGTGGCAAGTTCAATTTATCAAAGCGGGGTCTAGATCTACTGCCTACTCCGTGACTACTTGTTATCTAGCGGGACTACGTGTAGTGAGAGTGATTTTAAACAAAAGCAGTTAGGAAACAGGAAATGGTTCGAAGTTCTTAAGCAAGGGAAGAGTCATTCGGGAATGAGTCCCCCTAGCTCCTTAGTTAGGTCAAAGTTGTAATTTCCTTTGGTTTATTTACTGTTGATTAAACTGCAGAAGATCCGACAGTAGCTTTGGAATCTCTTAACCTGACCAAGCCCTCTCAGACAGACTACCCGGCAGACGACTAGTCTTCACCGGGATAGAACGCTGAGGCAATTGACATAGAAATCCACTACTGAAATTGGATTCCAGTACAAATCAATGAATCGACTAACTCTTGTATAATCGATTCACTACTATTGATTGAAGAAGCTATAACAACCTAATCAGATTTTATCTACCTCTGGTTGCAGCAGAAATAAAGAAAAGTTGATCAGACTCCAATTGACTCAATGAATCATGCATCAATCGATTATAATCAAACAATATATCAATCAAAAAGTCATTACAATCATTATCCCAAACACATGGAACTAGGGTTCTTCAAACCCAAGTGAGGGAGAGTTCTACTCTATATAGAGAGAGAGGAAAACGGAATACAAAGCAGTCATACTCATAATGATGGGAAGAATCTGCTTTGGGATGATAATCTTCACTCCAAGGATGAAATCCAAGCTTGATTGATGAAACCCAGCTCCAAAATCACCTCTAGGTTTGTTCTTCGCACTTTCTCTCTCTAGGAATTTGTTTTTGCACTGGAAATTCGTCTCCCTCTTCAAAGACCCAAAATTGGGTTAAAACCCCAGTTCTGCCCAATCACACGGCCAGGCCACACGATCGTGTGAAATTTAGGTCTGCCCGTGCGGCTCTCCAAAACGTTGCGTTCGATTAAGTGACTCTTGGTGCGTTACACGACCAAAACCACACGATCATGTGGAATTTATGTCTGCCCGTGTGAACTCTCTGGAAATCTCACACGGCCAAAAAGGGCCCTTACACGGCCAGTGTGGCTTTGCCCGCGCAAAAGGGGTTCCACACGGCCTAGTCACACGGTCGTGTGTTTTCCTTAACTTTTCATCAAACGTCCCAACTTCGTCCAATCGACCCCGAACTCATGCTCAAACCTTCACTCACGTACTAGGACCTGAAATGTCACAAACAAGAAAAACCTAGCGTGAAATCGACCTAAAACACGAGAGACGAGGCTCAAATAGTATAAGAATGGTGGACAAAAACATGTGTATATATCAAGTCATCAGGATGCAACTACCTTTTCAAATCAATGTTTAAATCTATGTTTGAAAATTGTTGTGATAGCTTATTTGTTTGAATTCCCTGAAGATGTTATATATATTTGAAACTCCCAAAAGGATTAATTTACCTGAAGTAAAAAAGTAAAAGTTCTCGAGAACATATCGATAGACTAAGAATATCCCCTGTATGGGATATAGACGAATGTGAAATACTCTTCTAAGTGAACACCTACAACAGTAGGGTGAATGGACCTTAAAAGGTTAAATCCGGATAGAGTGCATTACAGCATTTGCATTGTGCATACATAGTTGTGTTGTCTTTATGTGCTTCAAGGATTTTAAATTCTTGGTTTATGTGTTCTGTTTACTTTAAAGTATGATTTGTGTTTTATGAGTGTTCTTTGTCGACTTCATATTGTTTCTATGATTTGAGTTTTATTATTATCTTTCGTGATTTGAAAGAATTGATTGCATCAATTCTTTGTGACGATATCATATTATGTAGATGATATGAATATTATTGGAGCTTCTGAAGAGCCTCCTAAAGCTGTTGATTGCTTAGAGACATAAGTTAAATTGAAGGATTTAAGATCCTTTTATGGGCAAGGAAAGTAATGTTGAAAACTGGAAAACTAATTGTATGAACAAATTATGTTCATCAAATAACATTAGGATCCTAAGATCAGTAGAAGTGACCAAAGATCCATTTAGGCATCAAGAAAGAAGTAGAACATTACTATATGTGATGTACACGGTCTTGAAGTAACATATGTTTATGCATTAGAGCACCATACAAAATATCATTTTGGTGTTGATAATATTAGGAAAATACAATGGTTCCCTCAATGGAACGTTGAAAATACTATGTTACCTTCAAAAACAATATATGTGATTGTTCTATTATGGTATTATCAAAGAGATGTTTGGTGAACTATATATCCAAATCCTATATACCATTTGATCCTCATATTGGTTGATCGGAGATGAGCTATCTCGAACATATGGTGATGTAACTGTTTCATAGAGAAACAAAACAAACTATAATAGGCTAGTCCTGAATGTACTTCGTTACACTTTGTGATCCACCATATCTAAAGGACTTGTGGTTTTGAACTATTTCCAAAGGAAATGATCAGCTGTCAATCATTTATGAAGAAAATCTAAAGATCATGCATCAAATTGAGAATCTAGAAGATTGTTCACTAACTCACTCCTGACAACAATCTTTCTAAAAGTTGCTCGTAAAATTTGAGTTCAACGATTCAAAGATCTGAAGTGATGACGTCATGAGGGGGAGCATATAAGCATTGCACTCTTTTTCCCTTAACCATGGTTTTTTCCCCACAGGGGTTTCCTGGTAAGATTTTGAATGAGGCAAGATGAGATAGCGTAATGCAATCTAGTGGTCATCCAAGGGGAGTATTATGTTATTATTGATATATGGTCATCCATGTAATCCATATTCCTATATCATTATCTCTTATTCATATGCATTGATCCCTATGTTTGGCCCGGCTTTTAGAAGTGCTTTTCGAGTTCAAAAGCTGAAGCAGGGCCAAACACCTCTAAAAGCTCGCCTTTTGAAAAACCAAAAAAGTGCTTTTGTATAACATTAAAGCAGAAGCACTGATTCGGACCTTCTGCGAAAAGCTGTTTTGAAAATACAAGATTATCCTTACCATATTATAATTTTATTTCAGAAAATATATTTTTTCATCATTTACATCATTTTAAAAATAAAATAAATTATAAAATTATATTAATTAATATAAAAGAAATATAACAAGATCCATTTTGACTACTTTTTATTGTTTATAATTTTTATTCATATTTTATATTATAAGTCCTTTATAGTAATTTTATACAACCTCTTATATTAAAAAGCATTTTTAATGGTTTTGCAGCCAAACACTCAACTGCTTTTTTCAAAAAGTACTTATCTAAAAGCTCCAGCCAGAAACTGCTTCTGCAAAAGCTATAGCAGGGCCAAACTAAGCTGATATAAGGATGTAGTGGTTACCAAAGTGTGCATATAAATAGAGCACACTAGTGTATCAAAAGTGAAGATGAATAAGAATAACTCTTCTACTCTCTTCTCTTGTGTCTTTCCCTCTCTAATCTTCTCTTGTAGTTGTTTATATTTTCTATTAGTTTCATAACAAATTTATTTATATTACTTTGGATGAAACTTAATATTGATGATCAAGACCCTCGAAACGGTCCTAATTTTATTCGCTCCCCACAGTCGGACCGAGATCAATGGAAAGATTGAGAATTGAGATAATGTCAAATCAAGAATCGTGACGACATGAGAAGTTTGAGGAACGAGCAACTTTCAATGTCAATATTATAATGGTCGCTCTGTATTCATAATAACACATGAACAACAAGCCCAAGGTTGAGCGATCCCATTGGATTCACCTCTCCCTCTTCAAAATCTAAAGAGACCAATGAAGATTTCATGATGGGCTCGTTTGGAGAATTGGAGTCTAAATCTCTAGATTCTAGACAATCCAAAGATTTTAACTCTCTGGATTGTTGAAAAAAGATTTGAAAATGTTCATTGTTTGGTAACTATGATTGTTAACATCCAATAAAAAAAGAAATTCTAATTTTTTTTTATCACGTAACATGTTTATCCTTAACGAAAATAATTAGATTGGCTCCAAAAATATTGAGAATTCATTAGTAAGGGTATTTAGTGGGATAAATGAAAAAAAAAACAAGAGATATAATAGGAGGGAGAAAATCTCCAAAATCAAGATATAGAATCTCTCTAATTATGAGAGATTTGATATCTCTAGATTTTATAGATTTAAAATTCCGGAAGTTACAATCCACGATACAAAAAGTAGCAAAAAACATAACATTTTGCTAAATCTATGGATTCAATAAATCCACGATCCAAATCTTGTTCTCCAAACGACCCCGATGTCACATCACACAAATGATTCAGGAAGCTATAATGGGCTCCTCAATCATCTGCAAATTGTTTTTTTTTTCCAGCGCAAGCCCAAAGGGCATGGGACAAATACTCGACACGATTACAAGACCGACTCAAATAAGATGGGATAGTTTATAAGCAACCAGACTACCGATGAAAGAACCTGAAAAACCACTAATTGGGCTGCTCTGAACAAGCTCTGAGCAGCAAAGACACGACACTGACGGAGAAAATAAGAAAGTAACCAACATCTCCAAAATAGTCCCGCCAACGAGTGTAATTTCCTTCGGCGGAGTATACAGGACGACCAATATCGAATTGCCACAAAAAGTTATAACAAAAAAAGCAAAAAAAATTAGCAATCTTCGATAGAGCAATGTTTAATTACTCTAAAAATTTCCTGTGGGGTATATACTACTCAATATTTTTGGTCCAATTGAGTTAATTAATCTATTTATCTTTATCTACTAGTTTCTCACCCAGCTTATTAGGGGTGTTCAAACGATTTGGTTATCATGGTAACTGTTTTAACCGATACTATTTTAATAATTTGGTTTGGCTAATTTGGATAATTTGGTTTGGTTTGGTTAAAGTTTTTAGCTTGTTTGGTTTAGGTGGTTTGGTTTGGTTTCAGACACTCCTACCCAGTCAAACCAAACTAACAAGTTAAGTAATTAGTCATATATCTAACATATATTATATACACATACTTAATACTTTGCATAACCACTCAAGAGTTAACGTTCATCCCTTTTAGACTCATAAAATATAAAGCTCAATATTGCTCATATAGTGTATATTTGTATATGTAAAATGTAGACCACAATATATAGACGCCTAATTTAGATAAATTTCATACATTATGATGGATGAAAACTTGAAAGGAAGGTCATTTCCAGCCTATGATAATTGCTAAGAGACTAAATCAATTTACACAAACACAACAATTCATTAACCCATACCATTGTCATAAATTTTTGTTAGGTGAATACTTATATACTAATCGTAAGATAATTGTCTTAGTTGCATGTATTTTTGTTAAGGGTCAACTATAACTACGTGTTGATTGTTGTGTTTTATTCATTATATAAATTGCGAATTGTTGCATTAACCGGAAAATTTTCATCGTCAATGATAATGTGATTTTATATTGGTTAATCCGGTTAACCAATTAACCAAACCGATTAAACATTAGTTTGGTTAATTTGGTTGTTATATTAGTTTGGACGGTTTGGTTATGATATTGTATTCCATGGTTAATGGAATTTAGCCTTATTTGGTTTGGTTATACCATGAACCATTTGAACACCCCTACAGCTTATTGCCCGGATTACTTTAATTTAATGTCTCCTGGAGTTGAAGCGGGACCGAGAGCGAAAGAATGTTTATTTTGGGATAATTGTATATAAAAAATTTTAATAGAACATTAATATAATATTATTTGACTTAACAATTATTAATTATATTATCAAATTTTAGACAAAATACTACAATATCTCTTAATTTTTTAATCAAGTATATATTTAGATCAAGAATGAAATCACAAAGTTTAATAGATAATTCGAACGATTTGTAACCAATTTAATGCAGAAAGTTACTTTAATTTGTTTTGTATTTATATATATATATATGGGGAGTTCTACGGTACCCAGGGTGAAATTCGGGGTACCGCATACCTTGAGTAAGAAAAGGTTTTCCAAAACTTGAATAGACTAATCTTTCGGACATGGTACTATACTCTAACCCTTAAAGATCAAAATCTAGGTCTTAATTCTCTAAATCTTATACCTCAAGATCAATTTAATTAGAAACAATAATCGATGGTTATGATTCGTCCAAAGATAGGCAAAAAAAATCAATGCACCATCTTAGGGTTTATAGTTTATGATTTGGATAATTAGGACCTAGAGTTCATTCATTAAGGGTTAGAGTATAGTATCATGCCCAAAAATCCTCCTAATTAGAGGTCTAGATAGCGTTTTCATACTCAAGGTATGCGGTGCCTTCTACGGTACCCCGGGTGAAATCCGGGGTACCGCATACCTTGAGTGTGAAAACGCTATCTAGACCTCGTATTAGTAGGATTTTTGGGCGTGATACTCTACCTTAACCCTTAATGAGTGAACCCTAGGTCCTAATTATCCAAATCATAAACTATAAACCCTAAGATGGTGCATTGATTTTTTTGCCTATTACACAACAAGACCCTATTCATTCTTCTAACCCCAATTTGCTAGATGGCGCATACCCGTCTATGCCTAAACCCACATACCCAGCGTAGAAAATCAAGTAGGCTAATAGACAAGATTAGGGCTACTTACCCAAGCACAATTAGACTAAATGAAGCAATGAAATCAACTAGATAAATACATTCATACAAAGCCCATTGATACACATCCTATAAACAAGGGTTCATCTTCTCTAAACAACCATTAGAGATTCAAGTCATAAAGAGAAATAAAACACAAACTAGAAGAGGGGGAGAGATGAAATCAATCGTCTTCTCCTTGCTTGCACCTTTTTCTTGCTCCTTCGTGGATTGTATCTTCAATGAAGCTCTCCCGAGGTGTTTCCCTCTCTAAAACACTCCAAACCCCTAAATTTCTCACTGTAGGTCGGCTCTCCTCTGTCAAGTGCAAAAAATGAGTATTTAGAGGCTGTTAGAGGTGGTCATGGCCTCGAGGCGTGACCCGATGGTCACGGCCTCGAGGCGTGACCCGATGGTCACGACATTGACCTAGCCGTGACCAGCTAGAATGTCTTGAATCGCCCAAAATGACGTGTTTTGTCCCATCTTTAAGCTCTGAGATTGTGGCCTCCTTCATGAGATCATGGTTGTGATATTTGCGTTCTTGGCGCGATCTTTTTGCGATCGAAAAGTACCAAAACCGCGACTCATGTGTCGAAATTTTCTGTCCCTCGACGGCTGCCTTCTGAAGTTATAGCGCACTATTACACAATCTTCAGGCTGCGAACATGGTCACGACCTAGTGGTAACGGCCATGGCCCGTGACTTGTGCCTTTTCTCCTGTTCTTGCTCCTATTCTTCTGAATCATGCTCGGATGAACTCCAGTCGATTCCTGATCAATCCCAGATGAATATAAGACTTGGAATTACAACACAAACACTAAAAAAGAATAAAATATGACAAAGTGGGGTTGATTCCCCCATGAAAACCTTCATACAAGAATACCTATGTGTAAATACATGTTTTGCGAATAGGAACAAAAATAGGCATAAATAACTTGATATGTGACCTAGGCACTGTGTTTTACATTAAAATGCCTTGGTAATAAGGGATAAATAACGCCTATTTTAGTTGTTATCGAACTCCCCCACACTTAAAGGTTGCCACACATGTTGGGCACAAACGAGAGCTTGAGACCGTCTTGGCTAGCCTCTCTGACCTCCTTTTTCTCTTCTAATTGTATGAGACGATTGCGAGCAAGTTGTGCACATACTTGCTCAACAAGTTCTTCTAGCTTCTCTGTTTTTTTAAGGGTCTACTCCGTTGTCTGTAGTAAGGAGGAGTCGATATGGGTGGTGGTTGAGGATTCTACATAAGAGAATAATTTGGTATTCAGGGTGAATCACTCCACTTGGAGCTCCAACTCGATTTTTGGCTCTGGTTGTGCAATACTTTCTTTGTGGTATTGGGAAACTTCTTGAATTCCCCAATTATATTTTTGATCATCTTGGAAGGGGGGTTCAAAATAGAATCTGAACACTTGACTTCCAACATCTTGATTGTTCCACGAAGCTTCCGGGTAACCATCTTTGGCCGTTGGTGGATATCCCCACACTTTCGTGAAGTCATAAGGATCCATGATTCACAAACTACAACAACAAAAACACTAAAGAGAAAATAAAAACACACACAAACTACCTTTCAACGAGAAAGGTGGGTGAAACATAAAAACAACACACAAAACACAAGAAAAAGGCACCAACGACTTGATGCTACAGAAACACAAAACAAGACAAAACAAAAACATATGATTAAACTAGTAGTTCTAGGCTTTTCCTAATAACTTAAGACTCCCCAGCAACGGCGCAAAAAACTTGATCTGCTTGCGTGATTGAGCTTTAAATTTATAATTCGATGCACACTTTGTATCCAATTATAGCTAGTCCAAGCATAACCTAGCTAGGGTTGTAGTAAAGTGGCTCATTCGTATTCCAAGGCAACCCTAATCTTACTATTACTTTGCTCTCAACTACTATCTAGTCGAATCAAAATTTTGGTTAAGAGTCTAACCTAACCTACTCATAAACAACCAACCAAGTGGTTGGGAGGTCGCTAGAGATGAGATGGTTCCCTAGAGTCAAATCCTCCTAGCTATGGTTGTCATGTAGGGTTAAGAGAATATGGTGAGTGGGCTCTTTTTCGTAGGCCTTCATGATTATCCACACGCCTCCGAGTATGCCCTACCTGCCCCATTGCCACCTTGGTATGACTCACGTATCTGGAGCGTTAAGAACCTAGCTCCTTTCAATGTGTACTACTCACCATCCAGACCGAGGTTTCATCTCGGGTTACATCTAGCAAGGCGTTCTTGTGGCAGGGGTTTGGTCGCTTTGTCCATGACAAGACCCTATTCATTCATCTAACCCAAATTTGCCAGATGGCGCATACCCGTCTAACCCTAAAACTCCATACCAGCGCAGATGCTCAAGTATGATAGTAGAGAAGATTAAGGCGACTTACCCAAGAACAATTAGGCTATATGAAGCAATGAAATCAACTAGATAAACACATTCATACAAAACTCATTGATACACAACCTATTAACTAGGGTTCATCTTCACTAAACAGCCATTAAAGATTCAAGTCATAGAGAGAGAACGAAAAACACAAACTAGAAGAGGGGGAGTGATGAACTCAATCTTCTTCTACTTGCTTGCACCTTCTTCTTGCTCCTTGGTTGGATTGGATCTTCAATGAAGCTTTACCAAGGTGTTTCACTCTCTAAAACACTCCAAATACCTAAATTTCTCACTATAGGTCGGCCTTCCTCTGCCACGTGCAGAAAAGAGAGTATATATAGGCTGTTGGTGTTGGTCATGGCCTCGAGAGTGTTACCCGATGGTCACGACCGTGACCTTTCCATGACAACCTGGAACGTCTTCCAACCGGCCAAAATGACGCATTTTGTCCTGTCTTTATGCTTTGAGATAGCAGCTTCCTTCATGAGATCATGGTCGTGATCTATGTGTCTTGGGCACAATCTTTTTGCGTTCGAAAAGCACCAAGACCGCGACATGGGTGTCGAAACTTTCTGCCATGCGACGGCAGCCTTGTGAAGTTTTAGGGAACTGTTCACGGCCGCGAACTTGGTCACGGCCTAGTGGTCACGGCCGTGACCTATGCCTTTTCTCCCCTTCTTGCTCCTATATATGCTTCCCAATCATGCTCGGATGCAAAGTAGTAAAAATTGGGATTTTACGAAAAATCGAAAATGTAGGTAAAATTAGGGGTGGCTAGACGGTCCGGTCCGGTTAAATTGGCCCGAATTGATCCGTTTTGAGTCTGATTTTTTGGAAATATATGGACCAAAGCTTGGATTGGGTACAGTCTGGTTTTGACCCGGTCCCAATCCGTTATTTTAACCATTTTGATAATGTTGCAGAAAATTCAGCAACATATACCCATTTTTCTGGAATGTAGATAACCTGTTTGTAGCAAAAATCAAATCGAACATGGTCCAATACAAAATCACAAACATCATCGATGTCTATTACAAACTCAAAGTCCAATTCAAACTTGAAAAAAAAATAAAGTGCATCACAAGTTCACAAACAAAGTTTAGACATCAAACACCAAATTCATTCCAATCTAACAAGTTCACCAAACCATTTCTACTTATCAAATTCAAGAGAAACAAATGAAGCATTAGATCCACCTCCTTGATTTGTTCCACTACTCATTATAATAAACTAAAACTACTTACCCAGCTACTGCTCCCTCCATTTTTCTGAGCTCGGCGGTTGTTCCTCAGTAGTCGATAGAGAGCGATGAGATTGGACGGAGGGCGACGAGGCTATGACAGAGGGAGACGAGTTGCGGTCTCTGGACGACTGGACGAGATGCTGGAGTGGTCGCCTCGCTGGTTCGGAGCAAGTTAGATGTCGACGTGATGCTGATGGTCGCGGTCACCGCCTTGCTGTGTCGGAGGCTTAGAGTGGAGGCCGGTGTCGTGGTCGATGGTCAGGGCTGAAGTCGGCGTCGCGTCGCTGAGTCAAAGTCAAGGCCGTCGTCGCGTTTCTGGGTCAGAGCCAAGGCCCACTTCACGAACGCTGGGTAAGATTTGGGGCAGGCGTCGCTGGCCGGAGGTGAATCAGAGCGGAGGTGGTCGGAGTAGAGGTGAGTCGGCGCGGAGGCGCAGTCACAGTCGCCAGCCGATTAAAGGGTTTGTGTCAGGATGGCGGCGACTGTTGTGTTCGGTTGGGAGGGAAGAGTTTCACCACAGTTGCAACCCTACAGGCCAAATGGGCTTGCTTGGGCCACTGGGGGAGTGAGGGTGGGCTTGCCTAGGCTCTTACGGGCTTTGCTTTTGGGTCTGGTCTGTTTTTTACTCATCTGGTCTTTCGGGTTTGACACGAACTGGATTGGTCCGGATTTTTTGCTAATTCTAAGACCAAAGACGGGATTGGATTGTTTTACATCCGGTCACGGTCTTAAACGGTCTGGGTTATACGGTCCGATTTTTTATTTTACATCTGGTCCCCGACCAAATAGCCAGCCCTAGGTAAAATCGAAATCGTAAAATCGTAGAATTTTAAGGTCCATATAAAAATGAAGAGTGTATAATATTAATGAGGAAAATCATGAATAACACAAACTCACATAACACTTACAATGATATTCTCAAGTTTAATGTTCCAATTTATCAAAGTTAATGTTGGAAAGTGGTGAATCGATGATAAATACTATGGTGTGAATTGACGTTGGTCAATGGTGGTTAACGTGTGAGAACAAGATGATGTAGGTGGAGAAGAAGGAAAAGATTTAAATCTTATGTTTTTTTTGACAAAAAAATCTTATGTTCTTGGAAAGATAAGTAAAATTTGTCCAAAGATTTATATCGTAAAATCGTGAGATTTTAAAGATTTAAATCGTAAATAGTATAAGATTTTAAGGTCCATAGATTTTATTGTAAAATCAAGATCGGAACATATAAGTAAAATCGTAGGATTTTAGTATTTAAATCGGGATTTTGACTACTTTGCTTAGATGAACTACAATCGATTTTCAATCAATCCCAGATGAATATAAGAACTGGAATTCCATCACAAACACTAGATATGACAAAGTGGGGTCGATTCCTCAATGAAAACCTTTATATCAAGAATACCTATGCCAAACGCATGTTTTACAAATAGGGATAAAATAGGCATAAATAACTTGATATGTGACCTATACACGGTGATTTAAACATGCAAATGCCTTAATAATAAGGACTAAATGAAACCTATTTTAGGTGTTATCACCTTTAAACGAAAGAGTGAGATTGAGTGAGATTGAGTGAGCATCTTGTTGAAAGATAAGTTGGGGAAGTACGTCAGAATAAGATCTCGAGGAGCATAAAACAACTATCTAGAAAGAGAGAGGCTCAGTGAAACGTAACCAACTGAAACGTAACCATCTCATGCAACACTTGCTTAGCCTATATACTCAGGCTCGATCTCACCACAAGTTTTAGTTAGTTACGTTCTTTTTTTTGTCAAAAGATATCATGTATTGATCGAAAAAATAGTCAGTTACACCTTGGAAACCGGCCAGGTCTGGAAGTCAAAGAAGCGACTCATAGTCGGATAGAAAGAGAGGGCTTTCCAAACTACCAAATGAGCTACCCTATTGTTCTCCCGACCTACGAAATGCACACTAAAGCCCGGCTGAGTACGAAAATAATGTCTAAATCTCTTCCAGAATAGCACCCAACCGACTATCTCTTGTGTCGGCTTAATTAATTTTGTCAATAATGACCTTCGCATCGCTCTCAAATCGGACCTCCGACAAGCCTTGCTCCACACACCAAATAATAGCTTCCCTGAGCACAAGCAATTCCACCACCGCAGGATCATCTATTTGAGAAAACTGGACACCTCTAGCCAGAAGGAGTGTCCGCGCTTGGTCAAAAAGAACCATCCCACCAGCCGAATGCGACCCACCCTTAGTAGCTCCGTCCCACATGCAAACCAAATGGGAATCACCCACTTGTGATGTCGGTTGCATCATCGGGATATGCACTCTAGACCCCTGGTCCGCTGGGAGACCCATCCATTCATCAAATTGCTGGTTAAATTGTCGCATGAGCGCCGGGATCCCAAATTGTTTGCCTTCAAAGACTACCCAATTTTGAGATCTCCAGATCCTCCAAAGGACGGCAACAACAGCCATAACCACTGCCGGCTGATGAATCAATGCCAACAGCCGTTTGAGAAACAAAGGAAAAGTATGCCAAGGCAAACCCTCCCCCAAGTATTCCGGCCCAGAATAATCCCAGAGTGCCCGCGCAACCGGACAATAGAAAAACAGGTGTTCCATTGTCTCCGGGCCATCCCAACAAACTGGACACCGAGGTAGCACCTGGACCTTTTTCTCAATAAACGCCTCTGTAGTCAGCAAATGCAACCAATTCATATCTCCATTTTAAATTGCTTACCTCATCGATCGTTGTGTGATTAGGACATGAGGGGTATACATACGACTAGGTAAGATCGACTACGTACATGTGTGAACTTTGCTAAGCCAAAGGCTTAATATGTATGAGGTACGTAGTGATGAAATTGGGGGTTTGGGCTAGTATGTTATGTGTTAGTTTGTTAATTATATTATGGGTTTACGTTATGGGTGAAGAAAAGAAAAAGTGAAAAGAAGAAAATTGCTAGGCAGATCAAGCTGCCCCTGCAAAAAAAAAAAAAAAAAAAAAAAAAGAGAGAGAACGAAAATCAAGCTCAAATCCTATCTAGAAAGTCAGCAATCCAGGTAGCTCCCTGACTCTTGGTGATTTTGTCTCGAGCAGTGATCCAGGAGATTGCAGCTCTAGCAGAGTTACGAGCAATAATACTTAGCTTGCAGGTGATTTTAAGTCATGGAATAAGTGGTGGTTACGCTGTAACCATGTTTGCCATAGAAAAACACCAGTTGGGAAGTTCTCAACTGCTGTAAACTTCTCTTTCGCAATATGCATGTACATGGAACTAACAGGAAAAGAGTCTTTTAAAGGTGAAATCCATGTAAGCCTGCAGGGACTATAAGCAAATATGAGGGAATTCATGAACTGTAGATAATGAAATAAACTCTCTTTTTCCCTCACCATCGGAGAAGGAGGCAATGTCCAAGATCCGCGCGTTAGGATTGACGGCAGCAGCAAGAGTTACACCTGGACTCCACGTATCATGCCAGAAGGAGACATGACCACCACTCCCAGGTTCGATATAAGCAATCTTCCAGAAGAGACCGTGTTCCTTTGTAATATTTGCCCAGACCCAGCTAGAAAATTCAGATCTGATTTTGCCAGTATGCCAGCAAGACTGAAGGTTCAGGTATTTAATTCTAATCAAATTTCTCCACCACTTACCTTCTTCGTTAGCATATTTCCAATGCCATTTAGCAAGGAGAGAGCTGTTAAAGATGCTGAGATCACAAATTCCCAACCCTCCTTTAGATATGGAGGCTTTGCATGTCTCCCAATTAACAAGAGGTATTTTCAGCTTGTCATCAACTCCACCCCAAAAGAAATCTCCTTTGAATTTGCTCAAGATAATCAATGACAGTCTTCGGTAGGGTGGCAGTTGGCGCAAGAGGTATAAGTTGCCTGTTAGTAAATGATATATGATCCACAATTGAACCTCTCTCCAACACTCGATTTATTGGGATGAACTGGTTCTTGATAACGTCTACTTGTACATGTACATGAGGGTTCCGTAATGATTTAATAAGTTACGTATTGCAAGAATAATATTCATTAAGTAAGAGTATCATCCATTACGGAAAGTTTCCATAATAAGATTTTACAACCACTACCTAAGATAAGTATAAATTACCTAACCATTAAGTAATGTCTATATATAATATGTTTACCTAATGTGAAATGTAAAACCTATTATTAGGGCTGGCTATTTGGTCCGGGTTTTTTAGTTTTACCCGAAACCGGACCGTATAACCCGGACCGAGACCGGATTGTAAACAATCCAATCCAATCTTTGGGCTTAGATTTGAGGTAAAAAACCATTCGGGAGTCGGGACCGGATCAAAAACTGGATAAAGACCGGATAAGAGAGCTCAACACCCAAAACTTAAGGGTAATTTGCATAAACGGTCACAAACCTTTGCACTTAGTACAAACTTAACCAACTCCTCACCCTTCAGGCCTTAGGCCACTCAAATTCCCACAAACTCAATATAAAATCAAGACCGAGTTGGGACCGGACCAGGTCAATCTTTGGTCCTTATATTTTCCAAAAGACCGGACCGGACCTAATCAATTTGGGCCAATTTAACTGGATCGGACAGTATAGCCACCCCTACCTATTATAGTAGGTAAAAAAATGGAAAATTCTTAACTCCAACCATTCAAGGTGTCAGTTTGTTATTGGTGGATTCACCTTCCTTTTTCTTAATATTTAATTCTGCAAAAGGATTGGACACACAGAAGAAAAATGCTTCAAGAAGCATGGCTACCCACCTCCTTCCCAACCCAGACCTCAAGCTCCTCCTCGTGGCAGGCAGTACATCAATGCTGCAGACAGCAGCTCTTCTTCATATCCACAACCTGAGTTCAAACTCACCAAATCAGACTATGACAAGCTGATGTCTCTCATGACAGATACCAACAAGGGCAAGTCTCCTCACTCTGCAGCTCGCACTACTCACTATACTACTGGTTCTTCAGGTAATCCTATATGCAATATAATTCAGAATCACAATACCATTATTCCATGGAACCTAGACACTGGTGCCACAGACCACATTGTGAATTCTCTTCACTTTCTCACTAATCCTGAACAAGTACATCACATTTACATTAACTTGCCCACTGGTGACCAAGTTCAAGCAACTCACAGGGGACAAGTTCTTTGCCTTGATGATTTAACCCTTGAGGATGTTCTATTTGTTCCTAAATTCACCTTCAATCTCCTCTCAGTGAGCAAACTCACCACCACCAGCCCCCTCAGCTTAACTTTCTCGTCTGATTCTTGCTTAATACAGGACATGAAGCTGCAGAGAGTGACTGGTTCTGCTAAGCTCCTCCATGGCCTTTACCACATCAACCTACCCTTAGCTAGTAAACCTAACCACATCACTGCTGCTGTGTAACACCCCAAATTTTGGATTCAGGTTCGACCAAAATACGGGAACGGTTGGGTTAACGGTTACGTACGAAGGGTTACAACCGTGAATTAGTAATAATAAATTATTATTATTATTATTATTACTAATTAATATATATATATATATATATATTTATATTTAAACCTAAAACTAACCTAGAGGAGCACGGCACCACAATTGCCCACGCACTCAATTGCCCACCTGAAAAAAAAAAATGAAAATTCATCACCGCCCCACTATTGCCTACCCAATTCTTCCCTTAGCACGAATGAAGCGGAGGCAAGCAGATTGGCGAAACAAGGAGGGAGAAGGGCATCGCCGAAGACCAGTGAACGGCGGAGTTAATGGGTCCGAGATAAAAAGGGGAAAATGATGGCCAGGAACCAGATCGGAATCACCACCGGCAGTCTCGCCGCCGCCCTCTCGGCCATGCTCTTGCATTCATGAAGCCCGATAGCTTTCTCCCACACGAAGTAG